TGCCACTTATTTTGCTTACAGCAGATCGACCTCCAGAGCTTTTGGATTGTGGGGCAAACCAAGCAATTGATCAGGTTAAATCCATTGATATCTATGATTTATGTACACATGTGTGCATGCACATGATTTATATACCATGTTAAATTTGGGGGTACGGGAAGGAGTATAGGGTTCTTAGAATTTCTGATAGTTGCAAGAAAGTGATTTCATTACAAGTGAAAGAAAAATCTTTGCACACACTGAATAGTTCATGTCAGCTTTATATAGCTGATCTAGTATTGAACTAACCTTTGGCTAACTAACTGTCAATTATCATATGTATAACTGTTTGCCTAAACTGAATATTACGATGTAAAAGAGAAAATATAGTGTAAAACTCTATACTCTAATACCCCTGTTGAAAAACAATGGCTGGATTTGGGTTTAGGGATTAGGGGGTGGGGGTGATTTAGATCTTTTAAAAATTTACGTGTTTATTCTTAAAGAACATATTTAAAACTGATTTTTTGAAAACTTTACATGAATCAAATGTTTTAATCAATTCAGTGGGATAGAATGCTTCTACAAATGCCTTATTATTAACCATATTCAATGATATTAAAACTTTTCAATATATGCACAACCAGCTATATAAATATCAAGATGGTTCAATCACAATGATTTTTGTCAATATGAAGAAAGTGTTTAAAGAAGAGAAAGAGTTACACTGATTTTAATGCTCGTTCAATCACAGAATACCACAAATGATCAACTTCTGGTAACATTTTCAAGAAACAATCTAACCCAATGAAGTATCCTATTACATTGACTACACTTGATTCATGTATTTAAAGTAAACGGTACATTGGAATTGTGGAAGATTGTAAAGGAAAAAGTTTATTCCTAGGTGTAAGAAGCTACTAAGTGAAACAACTTTTAGTCAAGTTAACCTGTATGAGCATGTTAACTAATGCAATAATTATTCTAACTGTTACTTTGTCTACTTCAGTGACAAGTGGCCACCATGGTCATGCTCACTATATTTGGTAGAGAGGAAAAAAATTGAGAGAAAATTAAAAGATTAGAATTGAATTAGGTAAAAAGTATAGGGTAAAAAAAGATATTTTGGTTGGAGAGAAATGAAAGATAAATAAACTGAATATAAAATTGTTAAGATTGTTTAATTTATTATAATGATTTTTTATTTGTTAATATTATTATATTTATTTATTGTTATTACAGTAAGAAAGCAAAATTAAAAAATGTTTGAAACTCCCATAGTCAACTGAGAGTCCATAACATACAATATAAATCATTGTGGGGTCCACCATCTTTTAAAAACTTCTCTTCACCTTTTCACTATCCTGAATAAATATCTTCCAATCTCTTCCTTCCTCTCCCTCCCTCTTTTGACACAACCAAACTGACCCTGTAAGAGAAAATGTGTTTTAAGGGGAAATCACAATTGACGGTCAATTCTAGTAGTGACCATGTTAGGTCCTGGGTTGTAAGAACCTGGAAAAAGATTACTCACACTGTCTCTCCTCCCAAATAACAGCAGCACAACTCAGGAAAAGAATGATTATTGTATTCAAACACACCACAAATAGAATACAGCCCTCTGTCTTCCACAATCACAGGAAACGATGATCCTGTCTATTTCTATTACAAAACTCTTCTCCTCTCCTAACCCACCCATTACATGGTACATATAGCCTCCCCCAACGCAACACATTTCATCCTATAACTAACTAACGGTTTAGCTGTTATTTATTTAATATTCTCTTCTTCCTAACATACACTTTTAACTCCCTATCATTACTCCCTCCTGCGTCAACAACCTTGTCCTCAAGGTTGAAGTCTGGAAATTGATATTTCATGGTAGATACATCTTCCCCGGTTGCTGCCTTAGGGCCAGCAAACTGCCACTGAACTAACACTTGAGGAATCCTTTCCCCTTTTTCTTTTGTTTGCACGCTTCTCCTATCAATTATTTTGCTTGGTAAGCACATAGATGGGCTACCCTGCAGATCCTTTGGAAGTTCTTTTTCAACTGCATGTGTCCCTACTACCTTTTTAAGCTGAGAAACGTGAAATACTGGGTGGATACGAGTTGTCTCTGGAAGTTGTAATTAGAAAGCAACCTGACCCACCTGTCGTAGTACTAGGAATGGACCATAATATCTGGCAGCTAACTTGGGATTTAATCTCGCTGGCATTGAGACTTGCCTGTGAGGTCTGATCTTCAAAAATACATAGTCTCCCACCTTAATGGAAGATGGCCTTCTGTGTCTGTTGGCAAAGTTTGTCATCTGTTGTTGAGCTCTGTCTAGGTGAAATTTCAGCTGTTTCAAAGCTTCATCCCTGGCTAGAAGATCTTGTGCTACTGCCTCCACCGTTGTTTCACCTGGCACAAAACGATGTAGGGAAGGAGAGGATCTGTCGTAAACTACCTCAAAAGGAGTGGTATTAGCCGCTCCATGGAAGCTAGTGTTGTACCAAAACTCAGTCCAGGGTAAAAACTGAGACCAAACCTTTGGTTGCTCTGAACTGAAACACCTTAGATACGTTTCGAGAGTTCTATTGAGGACCTCTATTTGCCCATCCGTTTCTGGATGGTAAGCAGTGCTCATTTTGAGTGTGGTTCCCTGCAAATGGAACAACTCCTTCCAAAATAAACTCAAGAAGGTTGGGTCCCTGTCACTAACGATTGAGGCTGGTATCCCATGCAACCTCACCACTTCTTTCACAAACACTCCTGCCATGCTTCTAGCTGAATATGGGTGCTTTAGAGGGATAAAATGACCATACTTGCTTAGCCTGTCCACCACCACCAATATTGCATCAAACCCATTGGACTTAGGGAGGCCTACTATAAAATCCATACTAATGTCTTCCCATATAGTATTAGGAATACATAGTGGCTGCAGCAGTCCCTGGGGAGATGACGCTAGATATTTATGTTGCTGGCATATCAAACATGCTGCTACGAACTCTGTTACTTGATTTTTCATCCCAATCCAATAGAGGGACTGTGCAATCCTCCGATAGGCTCGAAAAACCCCTGAGTGGCCTCCTGTTGGTGTAGTGCGGTATTCTTCCAGCAGTTTAGGTATCCATTGAGAGGAAGCAGATAAAACTAACCTCCCTTTATGATGTAGTCGTCCCTGTTCCATAGTAAAACGCCCCTGTGCCCTTGGGTGGCTGATCAAATTTTGACATATTTTCTGAAGTGCAGGGTCCTGTTTAACTTCTTCTGTTATTGCTGGAAAATCTAAACAAAAAGGTTGGGATAGGACCCTTAACTCCTTATCCTCCTTAGTCCAGTCCTCCCATGTTCTGGACAATGCATCAGCAACCTTATTGGATGACCCTGTTTTGTACACAATGTCGAATTCATACCCCAAGAGTTTTGCCAACCAATTTTGTTGGTTCTGTGTGGTTATTCTCTGCTCCAATAAATACCTGGCTGGAGCTTGAGCCACTAGCATTTCGAATTCCTGTATGTAATCCTCCACCTCTCCTTCTTGTTTAATCGCTGCTAATCTCTCAAAGACTGTAATGCGATCTTTTCCACCAAAATGTCTGTTCAAGGCCAGGGTAAATCCTTCCCAAGATGGGTTCTTGGTTTTTTGTTTCCAGAACCTGAACCAATGACTTGCGGTTCCTTCCATGCTAATGAAAACCAACCTTAGTTTTTCCTTGGAATTAATATTCTGGATCTCAAAATTTTTTTCAGCCCTTCCTATCCATCCCATAGGATCTTCCCCTTCAAATGTGGGCAAATCGACCCTCTTCATCCACTGTCGTTGAACCACCTCCTCTTCTTCATCTGAATCATCTCCACGTTCCTCCTTTCCTCCAATACCTCCTTTCACCGAATTTTCATTCCCCTCAGATCCCTTCTCACTCTTCTTGAATGTTTTAAACATTTCTTTGAGTTCTTGAATGGAATTCTTGACTTCTGCGTTTACTTTTTCTTGCTCGCTAGTCCACCTTTCTGCCCACCTTTCTAAAACTCCCAATCTTCCTTCCATAACGCCTCTAGGTTGAATCCGGCAGGTCGGACCAAATTTGTTAGGTCCTGGGTTGTAAGAACCTGGAAAAAGATTACTCACACTGTCTCTCCTCCCAAATAACAGCAGCACAACTCAGGAAAAGAATGATTATTGTATTCAAACACACCACAAACAGAATACAGCCCTCTGTCTTCCACAATCACAGGAAACGATGATCCTGTCTATTTCTATTACAAAACTCTTCTCCTCTCCTAACCCACCCATTACATGGTACATATAGCCTCCCCCAACGCAACACATTTCATCCTATAACTAACTAACGGTTTAGCTGTTATTTATTTAATATTCTCTTCTTCCTAACATACACTTTTAACTCCCTATCAGACCAAGTGACTAAAATTGACATGTTAACTAAGTCCCTATTGACTAAATTTGTAACAAGCTTGACTCCGGATTTATATGTTCTAGTTAAGGGAGAGTGTTAGGTAGTATATATATAGTACACATTCAATATGGAAATGTTAGATAGCATATTTTATCTGCATTAAATATTGAAATAGCTGTCACTGCAATTACTACAATTTAGCTATTTGCTTTATTCTTTCTGTATTCCTAACTGATTCTGTTGTACCCTAATATGTGATTACTAATAAGATTCATGTGTGACATACAAAGCAACATTCAGATATATTCTTTCCACCTTCACAGAGCAACAACCTTATCATTTAGTTAAACTGAACTATTTCTGTATATCTTCAAATATTATAATTCACTAGTACGTGTACTGCATTAATTTAGAAAACCTATAATGATTTTCAATGCACATATAGTTAGTTACCATTGCAAATAATTAGTTGTTCTGAATGAAGGAATATTTTATACTCATGTTTTCCTTGGTTACTCAGGCGACACATTGAATTTCTGTATCAGGTGAACCATTTTGGTTCTTTTGTGAATTTTTTCTTTAATCTCCCTGCACCCACAGATCAAATTCCTGCAAGGATGGTGCTTACCACTCTTGATTCTGCTGTACATCGGGCAACTTCTTCACCATGTGGTCCAGTGCATATCAATTGTCCTTTTAGAGAGCCTTTGGAAAGCAGTCCCCGCAAATGGTTGTCAAGCTGTTTAACTGGGTTAGACTTCTGGATGACTAATACTGCACCATTTACCAATTATATTCATATGCGATTGTCTCGTACTAGTACAAATGCTTATGGGGAAATGTCTGAAGCTTTAGATCTGATTCTAAGAGCCAAGAATAGTCTTCTATTATTTGGTGCAATCCATACAGAAGATGAGATGTGGGCTGCTCTGCTTTTGGCTAAACACCTTCAGTGGCCTGTTGTAGCAGATATCTTGTCAGGGTTGCGGTTGAGAACACTTTTAAGTTCTTTTCCTGGTATTGAAAGAAACTTTATATTCGTTGATAATCTTGATCATGCTCTTCTCTCAGATTCTGTCAAGGGCTGGTTAAAGGTTGATGTGGTTATTCAGGTATTATGACTTGTTACAAAATTTTTCCTATTCCCCGTCTTTGTCCTTTACAGGTTATGTTTCTGCATATTCTTTTGTTGATATAATATTTATGTCTTTTTCACTTCTTCCCATTCACCTTTTTTAATTTGGAGCAGATAGGAAGCAGGCTAACTAGCAAACGAGTCTGCCAAATTCTTGAGGACTGTGCTCCTTTTTCATATATTATGGTTGACAAGCATCCTCATCGTCATGATCCATCACATATTATAACTCATCGTATACAAACTTCCATATTTGAATTTGTGGGCTGCTTACTTGAAGCTGCAGTCTCACATAAAAGGAGCATGTGGAGCACTTCCCTACAATTGTTGAGTAAAATGGTATTAATTCTAGTAATGAAAAGTTACTTCTTGTTATGGTAATGTTGGCAAAGTTTTCTTTTACATATAATCTAGCAGTTTGAAATCAGTTGAAAGCATTTCCACTATTGCCAATGTTGTTCATTAAAATTTTGGAATGACAAGTACACGTTATGAGGTTTCTGTTTGTGCCTGATATTGGATACAGCTATAGTCATTTTCTCATAACATTTTAATTTGTAGGTTGAATGGGAGATAAATTTTCAAATTACAGCTGAATGTTCCCTTACTGAACCTTATGTTGCACATGTGATGTCAGAAGCTCTTTCCTCCGAGTCTGCTGTATTTCTTGGTAACAGTATGCCCATTCGAGATGCAAATTTATATGGACGCAGTTGGTCTATATGCAATCAAAGTGTTTCACCACTCATGTTAAACTCCGACCTACCAATTAACTTCATGAGGGTTGCTGCTAACAGGGGTGCTAGTGGTATAGATGGGTTACTTAGCACAGCCATTGGTTTTGCTGTAGGATGCAACAAAAAGGTAACTGTCAGAACTACCCATTGTACATATATTAGCTGGTGATTGCTGTAGTTAGCTGTCTCTCGTGAGATTATACATTAAGAGTTTAAAATGGGGATTTTTTTATTTTGAAAAAGGAATTTTTATTATGTAGTATTTCTTGTTTGAGGAATTTGTAAGCTCAAAGTATATTTATTGAAAGAAAAATATAGATACTAAAAGGAAAATGTATAACCAATAGAAGTTAATAATTCTCTATTACAGAAGCTCAAGATTTACTAATCAGTTAGCTGTAATTGTGAACACAAAAACAGTTACAACTGATAGCAAGCAGAAAACAGAAATATCTCTAACATTGTAACTAATAACAGAAAAACAGTTACATTTGACAGCAAACAAAAAAGAGAAATATTTTTAACACCCCAAAATGCTAAAGGTGGGTGAGACACATCCTGCAGATAAGCACTACAAGTTTGGATATGAAAAAAACATCTAGTGCAAAAACAGAATTTAGTGTAGAAGCATAGTATAGAGATAATACTTTATCACCTTTGAGCTTATTTAGCTTTAACAATTGCTTAAAGAATTGAGATTTGGGGACGTCATACAAATGACTCTCATTTGTGACAACTTAGTTGTTATACATATTGTCTCAAATCCAGTATTTTAGGAAAGAATCAAACATATTGAGATAGATTCTCACTACATTTGAAAGATTATTGCATCTGGAGACATTGTCCCTTGATCAGTTGGCAAATGTCTTCATCAAATCATTACAGGATCTTAGAATGGATTACATTTGTAACAAGTTCATATGATTTATAATTGTATCCGAATTTTATGGGATAGGTATGGTCTTCTATATTTTCATTTCCCTAAGTAGATGTGGATAGGCCCCCCATTTTTGTATTTCTCTTAATAATATTTCTAAGAATGTTGCATATGATTGATACAAGTTGCAGAGCTAACCCAGTTAGGTTTGTAACTTGTATAGTGATGCAATAACATTCTTTCATTTTATTATATATGTTGAAATAAAAGAAGAATATGTTGAATCTCTAATGTGTATTAAGCGCCAAGGGTTATTCCTTTATATATAAGATAAATACAAAGATTAAGGAAATAAACAAATGATGTAGACTGAAGCTCGTTATCTTTAACAATATATATATATATATATATATATATATATATATATATATATATATATATATATATAATATTATTATTTCAAATCTTCAGGAATTCATGAAAAATGTAGCTTAAAAACTATCCATTCTTGTCTTCTATGAGAACTTATTTCTTAAAAACTTCATCTTTGTTTTGTTTTTTCTGTTTATTTTTGGTTTCAATAGTTTACCATATTTTCCTGTCGCTTGTTAACAGTTTATTTTAATTTTGTAATTTCATTCAGGTGTTGTGTGTAATTGGAGATATTTCTTTGTTGCATGATACAAACGGCCTAGCAATTTTGAACCAGCGGTAGGATATTATCTACCAAAATTTTCATTTCCTACCATATTTATATATTTATTCTTTTGGTAATGCTTGTTAATAGTGTATTGTTATGTACTTTTATTGTTAGCCGTCTAGTCTCAATGTACATAAAATAATGAATTAAATTAACCAATAATCTTGCATAAGGTAATTTGGATCCATGTATTATTTTTTATATTCTGTTTCATTGGTTTAGTTAGTACACATGGTTTACACCAAATTATGTGGGTGAAGACTTGCGGAAGAAACAAAGTTATGGTGTATCTGCAATAACCACGAGTTTAAATAATTCATTATTAAGAACAATTCTTATGTAAGGCTGGGCATGGGTTGGATATTTATAAATCAAATCCAAATTCAATCCAACTCTAAATAATTGGATTGGATTTTAAATCCAAATCCACTTCTTCTTAAGAAAAAACAGTTTGGATTTTTGTTCTTTGAAGGTGAGTTTACCTAACTCAACCTTAAAGAACTGACTTTTAAGATTTTCATCCACTTATATATTATAATTTGATCATATTTATAGTTAGTGTAAGATCTTCAATACACCTATCATGCCGAGGACTAAATATCTCGAGCATACATACATATATCTATATCTCTATATATATATATATATTGTGATTACCTATATGCCACTATAGTTTATCTATTGGGAAGGAGAACAAGAGTCGAGGTGTTAGTTTTTAGTAATGCGTCGTAATCTTGCTGCATAGTAGCATGCCATTTCGGATCCTTCAGAGCTTGCGTAGCTCTTTGAGTCAGTATGAGTAAGAAAAGTGATTGAAATTTTTAGGAGGGTTGTAATTCATCTGAGTAACCCATACTTCAACGATGAACTTGGCTAGATGCTTGATTCACCTCCCCAATCTGTTTTGTCGAGTTTAACATGGTACCCATCCCACTATTTTTGGAGATGGTCACTCTGCTACAGTATATGGGATTGATAATTGTGCTATAGGTTTAATGAGTTAGTTTAGGTATTTGGTCTTTTGCATAATGGTATGAAAATTTATCTTCAGAGATAAACGTGAAAGTGTCTGATATATTTGTAATAAGATTATTTATTATCTATTGCATGAACCATAGCTAATGTTCTGAAAAAATGTCAACTAGGAAATTGCGGAAACCAATGACAATTCTTGTCGTTAACAACCATGGAGGAGCAATTTTCAGTAATCTTCCTTTGGCAGATAAAGTTGAAACGTGTATAATGCATCAATACTTCTACACGTCGCACAACATTTCAATACGTGAACTATGCATGGCACATAGGTATGATTCTTAACTTTGGGCATGAATTGTGTGGAAAATGATTTCTATCATTGATATTTTAGTTTTCTGTTTGCCATATCTAATCTAAAGGTGTGTTTGGGACAACTATGATAATTATATTACTTCAATAATCAATTATTTTATATCGATTATAATCATAATTAATTTTGTTTAGGTAAGTGTGCTGAAATGTAGTTTTAAGATATTTAATTTTGTTTTCATGCTAAAAAAATCAGGTTTAACATAAGAAAGAGTGTGTATGAAGCTGTAAGGAAAAGAAACAGTTGAAAAATTTCATGAAAATATCTTATTTGGTGGAAAAGGTTGTGCATTTAGTTAAGTTCAGATCCTGAAGTTGGATTAAAGGCAAGGTCAAAATCAGCTTTCTTCTTCTATGATTGGCTAGTACAGCAACTGCTATTATTAAATGTACACTCTAGTTGTAGGGGTTGATATGGTCTATGTGTAATCTTGGCTGGAATACATGCTTTCTGGAAGTTGGCTGGCAAATGTGTTTTGGGATGCTATGACATGCTAAAAGTGCAATACTGTTAGTGGAAATTGTTGTGAATATACTTCAAAGATTGATGTGTTTGGCCCTAGATTTGGTTAGATGGAAATTAAACATTGGCCCATTTAAGTTGGAGAATTCTGATATGGGTTATCAGTTTTACTGAATTGTTTACTAATCTTATATTTGTTTTCTAGGTTGACACTACACTATGGGAGGTGGAAGTTATGTTTATTTCTAGAATTTAATTGTGTTCTAGGATCAGACTACACATCGGAGGTGGGAATTTATGCTTATTTATGGAACTCAGGGTGCCTTCCATGGTGTAATTGGTTTAAACATCACAATCCCTTTTAAAACTAAAAAAGCCATAGAAAGGAAACAACTTATAAGCTAAAAACTTTGTATATTTTTCTACTTTTGATTCAATACAATGCGTTAGCTTTTATAGCCAAACAATCAAGCCAAAAAGAAAGAAAACAAAATTGGAATTGGAAAAACAAAATAACAGAAAGGAGAGAGAGTGGAGACGCGATTCTGTTGCACCGGTAAAGTGTGAAGGTCTTGAGAGTGAGTGCTCGACGTGGGATGTGAGTCAACATCCATCATGCATGTATCATCATCACCTTAGATCATGTATCATCACGTAATGGGTAAGAATATTGGCTGTAATACTCCCCCTCAAGCTGATGGGCTGAAACACTAAAACACTTAGGCAATAAGGCTTTGGTGAAGAAGTCAACAAGTTGGTCTTTGGAAGAGATGGGGAGAAGGTGCATCAATCCTGTCTGAAGCTTCTCTCTTACTAAGTGGCAATCCATTTCCAGATGTTTGGTTCGTTCGTGAAAGACAGGATTCTGAGCTATGTGCAAATCGCTTTGATTATCACAAAACAACAAGTGGGATTTTGACATTTGAATGCTAAGATCTTGCAATAAGAAATGAAACCATTGAAGCTCACAAGTAGCAACTCCTAAGGCTCTATACTCTGCTTCATCAGAGGACCTGACAACTGTGGGTTGTTTCTTGGACCTCCAACTGACCAAAGCATCTCCAATAAAGAAACAATATCCGGTGATGGACCTGCGAGTGTCTAAGCATCCCCCCAATCTGCATCAGAGAAACCTCTTATTTGTAGATGGGAATTTTTGGGAAAGAACAGACCAAGCCCAGGTGATCTCTTGAGGTACCTCAGAATTCTAGTTGCTGCTTTGTAGTGCATTTGAGTTGGCAAGTTCATAAATTGGCTCACTTGTTGAGTGGCAAATGTTATATCTGGCCTGGTAGCTGTCAAGTAAAGTAATCTCCCTACTAATCTGCAATCAGATGGAGCATCTGGGTAAATAACACTGTTGTCTTGATGCAAATGGATTGTTGGGTCTAGAGGTGTGGAAGCTGGTTTGCTATCCAAGAGACCTGCGTCATCCAAGCAATATTTCCTTTGGCTCAATGAGATGCCCGAGAAGGAATGAGCTACTTCCAACCCCAGGAAGTACTTGAGCAGGCCAAGGTCCTTAATGGCAAAAGTTGTATGTAAGCTGTTCTTGACAAAAGCAAATTCAGTGAGGCTATCTTCAAATAATAAAACATCATCAACATAGACTCGAAGACCAGTAAAAGAGGAAGGAGTGTGCTTGAGGAAGAGGGAATGATCTGCAGAAGAATGAGTATAACCAAGATGCAAAAGGAAAGTGGACAATTTTTCAAACCATTGTCTACTAGCCTATTTGAGCCCGTACAAAGACTTCGTTAGCTTGCATACTTGATTGGTGCCTGCAACAGTCATCCCTTGGGGAATTGTCATGTAGATATATTCCTTCAAATCTCCATGTAGGAAAGCATTGTTCACATCAAGTTGATGGAGATGCCTCTTCTTAACAGTAGCAAGAGCAAGGATTACTTTGATTGTTGTGAGTTTGGCCACAAGAGAAAAAGTATCTAAATAGTCTAACCCCTCTATTTGAGTATATTCCTTGGCCACCAAGCGAGCCTTCTACCTTTCTATGGTGCCATCAGACCTCCTTTTTCCCTTGTAAACCCATTTATTGCCTATGTGAATAACTCCAGGAGGGAGATCAACAATCTTCCAAGTACCATTGAGTTCAAGAGCTGAGAGTTCAGCTTCCATGGCCCTTGTCCAGTGATCTATTTTGCTAGCCTCAGAGAATGTCTTAGGTTCTGTAATGTCTATAAGGGAAGCACTATACAGAGCATGAGAGGGAGACAAGGAATTGAAAGAAACATAGGACTCTATGGGGTAAGTTTTACCTAGATGTGGATGCTGAGAGGAGATGTATGTACTGCAGTGGTAATCTTGCAAGTACGTAAGCCTTGTTCTATTTCTGAGGGATCTCCTTAAGGGTGTGATGGGTTCCACTTGAGATATTGGTTCTGTGGGAGATGCCTTAGTATATGTGGATGTGGTGTCTGTGTTGTATTCTTGTGTCTGTGTTGGGTCAAGGCTCAATGAAGGTGAATGAGAATATGGAATTGAAATACACTGAGGCATAGAGAAATCACCAGATTTTGTGGTATTTAGAACATAGGGAAAAACAGATTCTTCAAATTTAACATTTCTAGAAACATATACCTTTTTTTTATTCAAATCATAAACCAAATCTCCCTTTGTACCTGGTTTAAAACCAATAACAATACACTTTTGAGCTCTAGAATTAAATTTTTTTCTGTGCATAGAAAGAGTAGAAGCATAGCACAAGCATCCAAAAACTCTTAGGTGTTTTATGTCAGGCATTTCACCATGCAGTACTTGATATGGAGACCTTGATTCTAAAACATGAGTTGGAACTCTATTTATTAAGTGGACTGCATGAGTGACTGCAAAACCCCAAAAGGTTTTAGGTAAATTTCCTTGAAAAAGTAAGGCTCTTGCCACATTCAAAATGGTTTGGTGTCTCCTTTCCACCCTACCATTCTGTTGTGGGGTTTCTACACAAGAAGTTTGGTGAATTATTCCTTCTTATTGGTAGAAAGATTTTAAGAAAAATTCAGTACCATTGTCAGTTCTTATTGTTTTAATTTTACTGTCAAATTGTCTTTCTATTAGTCTGTCAAAGATTGTTCTGTCTGAGACTTGTTTTGGGTTCTTCAGTTGCGATTCCTACTGCTCATTTTGCTACAGATTTGAAGTTATCATCTGGGAGTTCCACTTCTGCATCTTCCTATAAGGTTGTTCCACATATAGCAACACGGAGAGTTCTATTTGCAGAGGTTGATGCTGCTGGTCCTCAGGAAAACTCCGAATATACTACAGTGCCTGGCATAAAATCTACAGATCCTGCTGAGTTTCATGCTGCTGCAGAAATTGAATCTAAACAGAAGTCTGTTTCTGAATTTTCCAAAGAAATCAAAGTTGCAGAGGGATTTTCTCTGAAGTCGCAGAAGTTGAAGGCAACCATTTAAATCATCAAACTGATATGTCTTCTTTGGGCTTTGCTGCTACAGATTTTCCTCCTCTGAAGTCCCCAAGTAATTCCTGCACTCTTGGAGATGAGGACACAAGTTAACTCTCAGGGAGATTCTGCCCAAAACACTTCTGCCCCGAAAAAGGAAGAAAGGAAAGCAAACAAAGCTCCTTGGTCAGATATATTTGCCGACAATAGGAAACATGCAAATGGAATGAAGCTTCAAGTCAATATGCCAACTGGGAAAGGAGGAGCCATCATAGAAGATGAGGACATTGTACCCCAAAGTAAGTTCAAGTTCTCTATGGTGGGCTATTTTACAGGGAGATTTCCAGGTATGAGAGCTTTCTTGGGACTTTGTAAGACCTGGGGAGTACCCTATAGATACTCTTTTCATAAGAGTGACTGATAACTGGGGATTTCAACGTTGTGTTTGCCCCCAACGAGAGGTTCAAAGGCTCAAACGTCACAGATTATGAATTGAAGGATCAGCTTGACTGTTGCAGACAAATGGGGCTCTTTGACTTGAATTCTGTTGGCTCTTTCTAGACTTAGTCAAATAATCTCACCTGATCAAGGATAGATCCTTGATCAACCGAGATTGGGGCTTGCTGATAATTGGCAGGGACGTAGTTAACACGAGCTGATGACTCACGCTTACTAGGAATTTCTCGTTGAAAACTAACAATTGCAATGATCTATCCCCATCACGATGAAATTTCAAAGATTACCCGGCTCTGTCAACCAAGGCTATAGACTAGTTGAATACATCAATGTATTCAATTTCTGCATAAGTGCTCTGATTCAGCAAGCCCCAATCTCGGTTGATCAAGGATCTGTCTATCTTTGACTAGGTGAGATTATTTGACCAAGATAGAAAGAGCCAACAGAATTCAAGTCAAAGAGTCTTATTTGTGTACAACAGTCAAGTTGATCCTTCAATTCATAATTTGTGACGTTTGAGCCTTTGAACCTCTCGTTGGGGGCAAACACAACGTTGAAATCCCCAGTTATCAGCCACTCTTATGAAAAAAGTATCTATAGGGCACTCCCCAGGTCTTACAAAGTCCCAAGAAAGCTCTCATACCTGGAAATCTCCCTGCAAAATAGCCCATCATGGAGAACATGAACTTACTTTGGGGTACAATGTCCTCCTCTTCTATGATGGCTCCTCCTTTCCCAGTTGGCATATTGGCTTGAAGCTTCATTTCATTTGCATGCTTCCTGTTGTTGGCAAATATATCTGACCAAGGAGTTTTGTTTGCTTTTCTTTCTTCCTTTTTCGGGGCAGAAGTGTTTTGGGCAGAATCTCCCTAAGAGTTAACTTGTGTCCTCATCTCCAAGAGTGCAGGAATTACTTGGGGACTTCAGAGGAGGAAAATCTGCAGCAGCAAAGCCCAGAGCAGACATATCAGTTTGATGATCTAAATGGTTGCCTTCAACTTCTGCGACTTCAGAGAAAATCCCCTCTGCAACTTCGATTTCTTTGGAAAATTCAGAAACAGACTTCTGTTTAGATTCAATTTCTGCAGCAGCATGAAACTCTGCAGGATATGCAGATTTTGCGTTAGGCACTGTAGTATATTCGTTGTTTGCCTGAGGACCAGCAGCATCAACCTCTGCCAATAGAACTCTCCGTGTTGCTGTATGTGGAACAACCTTATAGGAAGATGCAGAAGTGAAGCTCCTGGAAGATAGCTCCAAATCTGTAGCAGAATGAGTAGTAGGAATCGCAACTGAGGACCGACGCTGATCAAAGATTGTTTTGATACTTTTTTTAACAAAACAATCCAAGTATACCTGTTGTAATCATCTACAATAGTCAG